TCCAATCCCTAACGGTCTGGGCTTCTGTGATTCTGTGATTCTGGGGCAAGGAGAAAGGTGTTTGCATGGGTGCAGCCCCTCGCTGGGATGGGTGGGAGCAGTGGGGAGAGGAGGGCATCGGAGCTGAACGTCCTCCATGTGCTAAGCGGTGACCTAATTCAGGAAAATGTGAGCAGCCGGGATTTCCAGAGAAAGCCAAAGTGTGTGGTCTGTGGCTTTCTGGCAAACTCCTCTGGGTTCTGTTGAAGGGGAAGCCCTGGCTCATGGAGGGGGGGAACACCGTCCATTCTCGCTCCGAGTGCTGCCCTGGGCGCTGCCGGCCGGAGCCTTTCGTGACGAGCAGGATCCGGCAGTGCCCGGCGCTGCACGGGATCCGGATGCAGAGTTTGACGTCAGGAGTGTTAAGAGAAAAAGAAAGAAAGAAAAAAAAAAAAGTCACGTTTAGATTTGATGACTCTGGGTTTGTTGGTTTTTTTTTCCAGAGGAAGTTGAACAACAGAAAAAAGCAAGCACAAAAGCCCCAGCCCCCAAAGAACCCGGTGGCAGAAGAGATGGGGAAGGGAAAGGGGAGGAGGATGCGCACGGCGGAGTGCAACGTCAGAAGAAAACGTAGCATTGAACCAACAGCCCTTCTCCTGATGGTGGTGATTCATGTTTTCAGCTGGAAATAAAAGCCCTTCCCGAGCTGGGTTTCCACCAGCACTGTTTTAATGGGACTATCCCACCGTGAAGGTTCTTGGAAACCGAGTGGCTTTTGGAAGAACTCTCCGGTGACCTGGCAGTGGTCAAATGTAGCCTGTGGTAAGTCGTCCCCATCTCACGCTCTCATCCTGACAGAAACCACTCCTGCCCTTCCAGTTTCGAGTTGCTCTGCTCTGGAGATGCTACCAAGGTCCCTGAGCTGCTGCCCCATGGGATGCGCTGCACACCAGTGAAACAGCGCGAGCTGCCCAGGTCCTTTTCCCTGCGTCCTCCCACCACACGGCGCTCGCCAGGGACAGCCACCCTGGTCCTCACACCAGTGCGCAGCTCTCGGTCAGCTGGCGTGGTTCTCCTTTTCTCCCCAGTTGCGATGTGGAAATGCTCTCCCCCCTGTGAGTCAAAGACACGTTGCCCTTTGCTGCAGGGGAAAGTCCATCTCTGAAAACAGAAAGCGCAGCTTGACCTCAGGAGAAGATGTACAGATGAACAGACCAAATAAATAACAGCACATCCTTTTCTGTATTTATAAATTAAATAGAACAAATAACGTCTGTACGCAATAGTGGCGGAGCACGGACCATAGCGTGGGCAGGATGCATGCATCCTGCATCCCGTTGGAGGTAGCCAGCACCCCGGGATTTGGGGGCTGAATGTGGGGTCTCTGTGGGGTCAGGAAGGTCCCTCGCTCCCCACAGGCGTGCTGCTTGGTTTGGTGCAGCGACATTCGGGGGTCGGCGGTAGCTTATGGAGTGGCTGCTCCCCGCAGGCAGGGGCTAGATGAGGTAGTTGGGTGGGTGGGCACCCGTGCCCCGGCACGGGGGTCTCACAGGCGGCTGTCCTTGCTGTCC